TTAAATCAATCTCTCTGTGTCTGTTTAAAGGAAGTGTTCTTGTTCAGAAGATCTGATGCACATGAGAAATCTTCATAAAATGCTCTCTGCAAACAAGAATTTACAGTAAGATGTGTAGCACTAATACAACAAAATGAAAATAATCCAAACCAGCATGAATCACCATGAACAAACATTAGATCTGTTCAAATAAAAATATAATTCCAGTAGTTCTGGTGCTCRTTTTTAATGTGACTTTTCATCTGAGCTTTCTACTTTTACAGAGAAATGCTTCCCTCTTTTAGAAAGCTTTCCACTAAAACCTGATTGGTGTGTAAAACATCATGAGCTCCTTTTCCTTCAGCTCAGAAATCCCAAGCCTTATCATAACTGAAATAGTGGAGGAGCCACGGACTCCATGGAGTCCTTGTTAATACAAGGGGCCTTACTACTCCTGCTTGGTTTTCCATGAAAAGTTTTCAGCCRCTGCAGTATGTGCCATGAACATATAACTTAAGAAATACTGGGATGAAGATTGTAAGAAAACTTGACTGGAATAAATACTTGTAACCTCCTGTGAATTTGCTGTGGTATTCCTGACTTGCCACATGGAGCTGTGTACTAAATAGAATCAATAATTTGGTGGTTCCTCCTGACTTCTGCTGGATGAGGCTACTCTGTTGTTGTGTCGCAGCTCTGGCCCTGTTTTCTCTCCTAATTTGTTGTGCTTGCTCAGTGAAATTGAATCGCTTGCCATTTCAGGCAAGTCTTGGAGAAGTTGTTTTCCTCAGTGCAGATGGCTCTTTCCTCCACATGTGAAAGGCAGTTAAGAGCTGCCTCATTTTTTTCTTAACCCTTCTGAACCATCTTGAAGTGCCTTTGACGCTGTGGTTGCAGAAGTGCTGTGATTCATGCCCCTTGGCCAATTTTCTGGTGGCTGTAAGCTGTCCTGGATGTCAGTTGCAGCACTGGCTCCTAATGTAGCTTGCTTTGGTTTATTTGGGTTGTTTTCTTGYGTGTTTTAACAAGGAAGAAGTGAAATTCAGGGGCAAAGCTGTCCCTGGGAGATGTCCCTGCTGGAAGCTCTTGTGGCAGCTTGGCACCAATGAGGGTGCAGCCCCATGTCTTTGCAGCTGCAGTCGTTCCAGCTGTGCATCTTCAGCCCGAAACAGTCAAGGGGAATCTGTACCCTGACCATTTCCCTTTACCCTGCTTGTTTCAATTGGGAACACAATGAGCTGTCAAAATTTCCTGCCTTGTTTCCACAGAATCCTTCCTTTCACTCTAAAAAGGATAATTTATCTAGAACTGCTAATTGCATGAATTGTCAGAATAACTGTTTAGCTTGATTTTTAAGGTGGAGACGAAGAGATGTGAAGGTCTGGTGGACTGATGAAAGGCTCAAAGTCGTTTGTCAATCAAAATAATAACATCGTGTGTTGCCATGAACAGCCCTTACCTCTTGGAAATTAAAACCTCTTTGGTATGTTATATATCTGGAGCAGTCCCTATTCTTGGTTTCTCTACTGAGTGTACTTAGATGTAATTAAAAGTAATAGGGAAGTATATAAATATTTTCCAAATATGTGAGCCAAGAAAAAATGGAGGAAGGGAGGTGTGGTTGTTTTAGCCCACTACCACTTCCTAACTAATCTTTCTCTAATGATGTAGGGAGAGACTAGGTGGCACCCGATAAAGTACTTTGAAATAACAGATTCATGAGGTAGAGCTACTTGATAACATCTTTGACTCATMAGAAACTTGCCTTCCCTCAGGATAAAGTTAATAATCACATTAGAATATAAAGATTTTAGTGACTTTTCCTAAGTCAGCAGGGATGCAGATTTATTCTACGTACAGATTCCTATAGTGCTAGAGACAGCCCAAACTTATATTGGCAGTAAAAAAATGTAAAATTAACACAAATAACCAGTTGGAATCATCAGTAATTTGCCATGACTTCAGGTCTGGGCCTTTTCTAGTTCAGCAAAAGTCATTCTCATTTCTAATTAATGGCAGCAATAGTTCCCTTGCTTCCCCTCTTTTTGCTGGAATTGYTTTATATGAATAGTATGCATAAGCATCGGAGTTGGCTGTATGAGTGTGTTGGATGTATGAGTATGRAGTGCTGTATGAGACAGCAGCACCATGGGAGGAAGCTGGGCTGCCAGGAATATCCAAGTAGCCGGGCCACAGAGCAGTTGGGACAGCAGCAGTGAACTTTATTTAAAATAGCTGTGGCTGTATATACCTGGTATCTCCCAGCATTGAATTATGCTCAGGTATCAYTAATGCTCTTTTCTGTCAAGATCATCAATAAAAATTCTTTAGGACCATTCCCAGTATGAATTTTCTAAAGATCATGGAGATCATAGACTAACAGTTCCAAAGCAAAAGTTTCCTTCCAGTGCACATGGTTATCTTCTTATTTTTAGTCTTCAGTTTTTGTACTCATCTCTTGCCTTTTCTTGTATGTTTTCTTGGGTGTAAAGTCCATATGGTTGAATTGCACTACMGTATTGCTCTTTTTCCTTTTGTCTAACAGTTAGCTATTTTGTTCAAGGTAATTAAGTATCTTGTATGGTCTGCTTTTGGTAAACCCATGTTGTGTTTTCTTTGGTGTTGCTGTTGTCTACTTTAGCATTCTCGTCCTCAAAACTGGGGTCATACTATTGAGATCAGAGTTAAGCAATCTTTTTGATGCATGACTGTATAGGATTTTCTTTTTTTGTACTACTATGGTATCTCCTTTGACCTGATAGATACATTATTTCATGTCTAGAAAGAAAACAAGTCTTGCTGGTTTTATAGTATTATAAGTTTTGGGTGTCTTTTCAGATTTTTGGAGTTTGAATTTTTTTTTTTTTAATGTCTCTGTTGATTCTGTCACAAGTGACATGTTTATCAGTATGTTAATGCAGGGGATTACTTGCAGTTTCCTGTTAATTCATTGGTGCCTACAGAAAAACAAAAGCCTCGGTCAAGGCATGCTCTGAATTCACACCCGTTCRAAATTTGCTGATGCCAGTGTTAGTAGCAGGCTCAAGCCTGCCTAATTTTTTCGAGTTTATATAATGCGTACCTTATGCTTGCCATTGTTACTCTTTCTGCACACATGAGCCAATCTGATGGGGCTACCTGTGGCAGAGAGCAACGCTTTCAAGTCTGGGTGCTGCTTGATGGGCTCTGGCTCGTGGGTGCTGATGAATCTTGTGTCGGTGTTCTACAAACTCTCCAGCTATTTGCTCCACCCTTCCACTCTTTAACACAAAGATCCTTGGGAATCTTGCTGGGGAATGGGTTCATATACCTTCATTGGCACAAGTTACGTGTAACTTTGAGCTGCTGATGAAGGGAGACCCACGGCATTACCATACCTTTGAAGTGGAACAGCTGAAGAGCAGGTAGAGGTTTGCACCTCCTGCCCCTGTTGTCAGGAGGAGTAAGTGGGGTCAACAATAGCTTGAGTTGGTTTGGACTGATTCCTTAGAGCGAGCGGTTTGCAAGGAGCCAGGAACAGGGAACATGTGTTCTGTCTCTGGAAATAAAAAGGCAATGTGAAAGCAAGGGTGAGAGAACCTGGATTTATATTTATAATCAAAAGTGACTGTGTTTGAAATATTCTTTATTTGCGTGCACGCTCTTGTGTCTTTTGTATCTCTAAGGACCCCTAGAGGGCACGGAAGTTTTTCCCCGCCTCAGATATTTAACTCAATAATTCTGCTTGGCCTTCTTCCCTTAAACATAATTGTAAGCMCATTTTAAGTGAACATTAGATAGAAAAGAAAAAACAGCATTTAACTAGGTCCTGCTTTTATGCTACAAGGTGTTTTCTWGTTTTTAAACTCAAGCAGTAGAAGCTAGCACTAGCAGCCAAATTCTTAATTTTCTGTTGTTTAGATTAGTCAGATACTATATTTGTATCCCAGAGGAAGTGCAATTCAAACTAACTAATAATTCATAATTTATTACAGACTTTGAGAGGACTGCAGTGTGAGCTGTGTGAGGTTGTGTAGTGGGTATGCTTTCAACACTGCAATCTCTGTTTCTGTAGAAGTGGAGTTAGTATGGTGAAGGACTGGGGTACTCTTAAGCAGAACCTCCTAAGTCTCCAAACTTCATCTTATTTAGGAATTTTTAATATTTTGGTCAAGTGCCTATAAAGTAGCAATTACATTGCACTACAAGATACTTAAAGTTATGGAAACATAAAAATTACATCTGCTTTCCACTACTTCCTGTCTACTTGGAGAGAGGTTCTGTAACTCTTACTCATCCTGAGAAGCATTTTTCTTCTTAAATTAGTTTCATCCATATTACATGGTAACTCAGGAACTAATCAGTATGAAAAAATACCAATTTTTCATGGGTTTTGGCACTTTATCATCTTTAAATATAAATAGTGATGCTCCAGAGTAATGCTTATCAGAGAACATCAAGTTTTACATACTTAAAACAGCTGCAGTGTTTGAGGAGAAGGCTTGCATTTTCTAGAGTGCTCRAAGAGCAGAAAGTAAAACAAAAACAAACAAACAAACCACCCACCTAACTTCAAAAAAATCTTCATACTTTTTTGGGGGGATTTTTTCATCAGCTAATGATTTTGAGACCAGTCCCACGACTTGAATTGTGAGCCTAGTCCAGGATTGAGAGCTTCATGCGAAGGCATGACTGTCAGAGTCCTACCTGTTCTTGCCTGAGAAAAAAAAGCAGACCCTCTGCACTAGTCCTGAAGCAATGAGAGTCTTCTTGCTGGGCAAAAAGCTGTTCAGTAGGATAATGTTGTGGTTTAATCCCAGCGAGCAATGAAGGGGTTTTTGTGTCTTTGTTCTGATAAGAGGATCAGCTGTACTGCTTTACCCAATTACCCAGGGATGTCATGGGAGACAATTTTTTGGACCTTTGTTTTCCCACTGGAGGAGCATAATGTCGTCACTTCGTATAAAAAATAGATCTAGATCAAAACAGCAAAGAAAGGCAGCTGCCCCTTCTAATGTCTCTGGGGATTTTGTGTTTTGCAGGAGATGCACGGGTGAGAGGTCAGACAGGGGTTGTCTCCGAGCGCCGCGGCTCCTACCCGTTTATAGACTTCCGTCTTCTTAACAGTAAGTGCGACCCTTCCTTCAGGTCGGTATTTAAAGAAACACRAATGAAAATCTCTGTTGAAAATATTTGAATCAAAGTATCACCTCATGCATATCTTCAGCTGTCTTCACACAGTCAGCATTAATTCCATTATTCCCACTCAGTGTCCGGCTGTGAAATATTGTGATTGTGTGAATAATGCTCAGTCTGTCAAGTGTAAATACAGTAGGGCCATGGGGTGTGCTGGAGAAGGAGGGGGCCCAGCTCAGAATTAAAAAGATAAACCTCCGTGTCCTTTAGCCTCTTAGACAACAGTTGGAACAGATTTATGTGAGTCTGTTATCCGGTCATATAGAATTGGCACAGAAGGGGAGCATGTGACAGCACTGACCAGTGGTTTACAATAACATTAATTTTTCCAACAATTAGAACCCAATCCAAAGCCCCATGGAGTCTTCTCATTGACGTCAATGGATTTTGGGTCAGGCCAGCAATGAACATCTGTTAAAAATAATCTTAACCTCATTTTGATTGAAGTTATTTTGCCACTGTTGTAAATAAAATAAAGCAAATCTAAAAGAGAAAAAAAAAATGAGACCCTGTTGAGTTTTTTTCACCTGATGATGGACTCTCTATACTGAAGCAAACCCGTTAACAAGTGTGCAAAAATCAATGTTCACAAAAAACCACTTAGTTTTGGGCCCTGTAGCATTCAGTCCAGATGCTGTGTTACCTTCAGTGTTCAGACAGGCAGATCTCAATGTGCCCTTGAGTACTGCACAGACCCCTCCTGTAACCTTAGAAAAAACTATTATTCCCTGTTTTCATCAAAACAGACTGAAACTCCCACAGTTTTAGTGTTGACACTGTTATGCTTCTAGCAATTGTGCTTTTCAACGAAGAGCAATTGTCAAACCAAAGTTTGAAATCTAGTTTTTTGTAACTCCTTGTCTGGATGCCTGGGGAAGGGAGRAGGGTGGCAGGGAGCAGGGAGGAAGCAAAGCAGGAGGACTGGCTGGGAGTCAGAAGTAAAGAAGAGCTCCTAGGAAGGGGAGGACTTGGGCTCTGCTGGACCCATGCTGGCAGAGTCACTGCCACCCAGCAGCGTGCTGCTATCAGTCTTGCTGATGAAAGGAATTTTCTGGGTCATAAGTCCATCAGAGTGCTGTGGCTGAGGTAGAAGGATGTAAGGGGTTAGATGGGACCATCAGTTTTCCCAGGACAAAGGGAATAACTTACTGGTTGAGCAGAGTTTKGAGGACAATTTAGTTCTGACTTGCCAGTGAAAAACATGAAGAAAAAACAGATGTAGGCTAGCTGGAAATAGTACTGGTCATGCATGCCCTTATAAAGACTGAGAGAAAATAAAGCACTTTACATTCTTGAAGTAGAAGGGGATAAATGCTCTTACTCAAATGTGACTGAATGATTTTTTTTTTTATTTTGAATATATATACATTATATAAAATTCCATTATTGTGTTCTTTCTTCTCYATGTGTAAAGAAACCAAAAACTTTTCAGGTTTAATTTTCTGGTGATAAGACTTTGACTTTTAACCCCTGTAGATGAATCCTGCCATCCTCCAAATCCTGCCAGCTTCTGGGAAATGCTGGTGCTGTCGATGGGCTGTCTAGGAAGACATCCATGGTGAGGGATGTATTGGTGAATACTCAGCCTTCGATCATGCCAGGAGCGGGGCACTCCACAGAACCCCTCTAATCATAACTGCTGAACTTTAAAATGTGGGGCCTCCTTATGTGTGCACCTCTGGTCCAGCAGAGTGGGGCACTTGGGGTTTTACATTCCCGTGTTCTCTGTCCCTCCAACTTACTCTTTTTACTGCTTTCCTGTAACCTGACATAAGGTATTAYGGCTGATCATGATCTCTGTAAGGGAAAACAGTGTTCCTAATTTTGGATTTCCCACAGTCTTCAGGTTTTTATCTATTTACTGTTTTCTATCTAAAGAGTAATGATGGCTTCATTTTTCAGTGCAAAACTAAATGAGGTTTCTCGATACTTGACTACTGATTTTGTAGGTGGCACTGGGCTTGGCTCACTTGGTGGTCTATAAGTAAATGAAGATGGTTAGTGTCAGAGCACGCAGATGTGTTTTGCCAGGAAGTAAATAGGTTTTTGTATTATTTGTTCATCTACATCTGTCCGTTAAATCCATTTCTGCTGTGCAGAAGCAGCAAAAAACATAAGCAGATAAGCAGCAAAAAACATGGTGCTGCACATCCTATCAAAAAAATACCATATATAAATGTCACTGCACCACACTCTCTTGAAAAGTGCCCAACTAATATTTGCAGTCAGATTTTGTCATTGTGTTGCATTTGTTTGGGAGCAGTAACTGGCAGGCAGGAACTGTATACTGAAAGATTTTACAGTGAGGGAGGGAAGAGGCAGAGAAAATTTTATASTAAATATCCTCAGAGGTTATAAACAAATGCAGTATAAACATTACTCTAGCTTCTCACTAACAAACTGAGCTTAAATAGCCATTGTTCCATCTCTCATCTGAAATACTGTTCCAAATAACAGTACCGGCCTTGTTTTAAAGTAAGGGAAAACACTGAAGCTCATTTTTGAACAGAGTTGACATTCATTATGTAAATTCACATGATTAAAAAAAATGCAGGGCACTGATATTTAATGTCAGACTAAAGGTTACTTAAATGTAACTTTTTTTCTGTGTATTTGAAGTTTCAGTCAAGCTAGTGGATTTTTCCCTTCTTTGTCTGTTAAGGGTTAATACCGACTAGACCATATCGTGTTTTTTCTGGAATCCTACAGTAAAGTCGCTTGTGTAACTTAAGACACCATTAAGTCTTTTTGGGTAGGAAAACTTCCTGCACTCTGAAAATGGGATCTTCTGTAGCCCTAATCAAAGCCAACTGGATTAATGTTGGCTTCTTGCTGTTTGAGYTAATGTCTGTGATGCCATCTACACATTCCTCCAGTGACTCTCTGCAGTGTATAGAAAGTTAGTGTTACTTCACCTTGTCTTTGCCAGGCTGTCCATGAGGATTTTTCAGAATCCTGTCTGGGGAAGATGCAGGGCTTTAGTGTCTTTTCTCTGCCTAGTTGCAAGCTTTCCTAGGCATAGTTGCACTGGTGGGTTTGGGGACTCTTAAGATGACTCTAGAATTGAATGTAAAATATCCCTGTGTCATCAGGAACTCCTTGGTTCTATTTTCTGAGGAGTGTATGTTCGTGCAGCCTGTGGAGACCTGCATGACCTACCAGATTCTGGTTTGTGTTGATGGCATTAAGTCAGAAAYTTGAGGGGAAGCCACGTAGCAGCTCCTCTCCTGCAGGGAAGCTGTGGCAGCTGCTGCCTGTTGTCAGCCTGATGTGGAACCCACTGGGGACAAGCCCACCATCCCTCCTTCTGTCCTGACAGGGCAACCAAACCACTTGCTCCCAATGGCCTCGATATCCTCCAGACAAAAATAAGCTCTGCATGGCAGACTTGGGGCTCTACGTTCACTAGAAGGCTCAACGAACCAATATCAGATTTTACAAACTCCTAAACTAAGAGATACAAATTTTGCACAGCCCTATAGGTTTGTGGGAGAATAGGGAGACAGTTTTCTYTTCAATTAATTCCAAACCAAACCTCACAAATTTTAGGAAATACTGACTTGGAGCTGGGTARCTGAAGCTTGAAGCTGAACCTATTCAGGTTGAAATTGATGTTGGCAGCTCATTGGCACTACCACATTTCAGTGAATTAAATGAACCTTACTGTGTTCACAGGACAGAGAAGGAGTTAAACTGAATATTTACAGGGTAATAATGTAGAATTTGAAACACTTCTGTAGTGAAAATTAATCCAGTTTTCCTTTTAGCAAAGTATAGTTTGGATTTGAAGAGTAAAGGAGCATTACTGTGGTAAGCGATAATTTAGTTCTCTGATTCACAGAGTTTCTCAGTGAGTCATTGAACCAGATCTCACSAGTGACTAATATGCATTGATTTAAATGGATTTTATTATCTCATTATGAGTTTTTGGGTGACTGTGATGGTACATTTCTTCACTGTCTTAACTAAAAAAAAAAAGTTTGAGGGAATTCCTTGGTAAATCTAGACTTGTAGSTAAACATGCAGCAATAAGCAAGAAGACCTCACCCTGCTGCAATTATGTTAGATACTTTGTTTTATTGCCAGTTTCAATCAAGTACAGTAACAAAATAACATAGTTTACAGCTGAGATAAGTAATTTATTATTTACAAATTTGCTTGTCAARCAAGTCAGAAGACAAGGAGGTTCTTAAGATTTAAATTCTCCTGTTCCCATCTTGTTTATGCTAAGGTTTTATCTGGATTAAATTTTGGCTTGCAAATGACAAAAATATTAGCCTTTAATTGACTMTATTTAATTCACTTCTTCAGTATTCACTTCAGTATTTATGTATGTGACTTGCAAGTTGGAATCTCTGTACCCAAATAGTGTTACCCAAAGAGATTTCTGTTTTCTTACACCTTGCACAACAGGAACACTGAGTGGAATCTGAGAATATGTAAAATGTCAAAACATGTTTGTAGACATTCCAAAGGTATTTCTCTGTATCACTTAGAATCTTGATGTTGTCATGCAGGCAGAAATTGAGTCCAGAAGAGCCCCACCTGCTTTAAGCTTTGCTTGGCAAATTAATGTATTATAGATTATATACTTTTAGCATCAGATGTTGATAAATGGTTAACATTAGCTAACATTCAGTCTCTGTCCTTGATTTGCTGTTTGACCTGAGTCAAGCAAAATACTCTGGTTTTCTGTTTGTTTGCAAATAAAGTGAATTCGTCACATACTTTGTGGGCATGTGATGAATTAGGTATTGGAGAAATGAAAAGTGTTGTGAGGATTAGTAAGGGAAGATATGAAGTCACAAAAATGTCTCCATTTCAAAGAACCAAAGTCTGTGGACATTTGAATCTGTGGTGTCTGCCTGTCTACAGAAGGGTCCATTACAAAATTTACATTCATTTTTGGGTTTGGACTTTGAACACTCCA